CCCGCCCCGCCCCTCGGACCCCTCTCCTGCCCCATCCACCTCTGCCCCTCCCTCCTCTGCTCCCGCGCGAGGTCGCGCGGTCCTGGCCCAGGCTGGAGTGCAGTGGCGCGATCTCAGCTCACTGCATCCTCTGCCTCCTGGGTTTAAGCAATTCCCCTGCCTCAGCCTCCCTAGTAGGTGGGATTACAGGCATGCGCCACCACGCCCATCTAATTGTATTTTTCGTAGAGACAGGGTTTCACCATGTTGGTTAGGCTGGTCTCAGACTCCAGACCTCATGATCCACCTGCCTCAGCCTCCCAAAGAGCTGGGATTACAGGTGTGAGTCACCACGCCCAGCCTCTCCCCATCCCATTCTTATCTCTCACGAAGAGGCTGAGGGAGCCAGCCCCTCTCACCCTAGGCCGAGCCTCTGGCCAAGCCCGGTCCGGAGCACCCTGCGTCTTGCAGGCCCTGTGCCCATGGGCCTCCTCCATCAGAACTCGGTGGGGGGGGGGTGGGAGGACTCCTTGCCTTCCTTCGCTCCTCAGCTGCCTCCAGCCGCTTTTGCAGCTCCTCCAGTGAAGCGTCCTTCTTCTTGGGTGGGGAAGAGAGCATAGGGCTCTCCGGGGACAGGTCGGAAGGGGACTTGAGGATGACCTCGAAGCTCTGGCCAGAGGCCCGCTTATCCAGCTGCTTCACCTCCATGTCTGCAGGGCAAGACCAGAGTGGAGCTTCAGAGGCGCAGCTAGAGCATGGCATGGGCTGAGCGGGATGCTCCCGGCACACATACAACCACAGGGCTGGGTGAAAGCGGGTGGCTGCTCCCACCGGAATCCCAGGCCTCAGCCCTCAGGAGGGCCCCTTCCTCCCAGAACCTCCCTCTCCAGAAGCCAGCCAGGCTGGGAGTTCAGAGAGACCAAGAGAGGCAGGGGAAAAGTTGAGGTGGGCAGGCACCGCAGGGCAGGGTGGGCGGCAGCCGGGCACTCACCCCCATACTGGTAGACGGTGTTGGGGTGTGGCTGTGTGTAGAAGCAGGAGCAGATGAGAGACAGCACCGACAGCTCCTTCATCTTCTCCTTGTAGGCTGTGGGCATGAGGCTGGGCTGAGCAAGCGCCGCTGAGGCTTGCCCACCTGGGCTCACATTTTTCCCTCCCACGGCTGCCTCTGACATGTCTGTGAGACACAGGTCTGCCCAGCAAGCTCTCCTGTGTCTCCACACCGCTGGCCCCTTTGTCCCTCCTCCTACTGTCTCGCCCGCAGGCGCTGGCTCTGTCTCCTCGGTGTACCCTGCCCTCTGCCTCTGCCCCCTTTTCCTCTCTCTTGTTATTAATGTCTGTCTCATCTTCCACACTGACTTGTTCCTCCATCTTTCTTCCTGCCTGCCGTGGTCAGATGTTTGTGTTCCCAAAAATTCATATGTTGAAATCCTAACCCCAAGGTGCTGGTATGAGGAGGTGGGGCATTGGGAGGGGGTTAGGTCATGAGGGTAGAGCCCTCCTGAATGGCCCCAGAGGAGACTCCAGAGAGCTCCCTCACCCTCCCATCACATGAGGACACAGCCAGAAGACGCCGCCTATGTACCAGGAGGTGAGACCTCTCCAGGCACTGAATCTGCTGGCACCTTGGTCCTGGACTTTCTGGCCTCCAGAGCTGTGGGAGGTAAGTTCCTGTCGCCTACAAACCACTCAGTCTCAGGTACCCACCCAAACTGACACTGTCGCCGCTTCTGTCTGGGTCTGTTTACCTTCTGTCTGTCTGACTCTGTCACCATCTTTGTATTTCTTGGTGTCTCCGGGGGTAGCCCCTGACTCTGTCTTTGTCTCTGAGTGCGTGCAATTCCTTGTCACTGTCTCTTTCTCTCTGAGCACGTCTTTCTTCGATTCCGTGCCACTGTGTGTCTCTCTGACCCTTAGCTCCCTCTACCCTGCTATATCCCTCTCCCCTCCTCCTCCTTCCTGCGCCCTCACCAGCTCAGGCAGACATTAGCTCCTGATGGGACCAGCACAGATGCAAACCATCTGTGGGCAGCACTTTCTTAGACTGTAAACCTGGAGGAAGCCCTCAGACCCTCCTTTCTCCTTCCTGCTGATTGTGTGGTCACCCTGAGATGAAACTAGGCCCTCACCAGGCACATGCTCTCTGCCCATCTAGGGCTGGGCTTGGGCCACTGATGCCACCAAGAGCAAATGGAGCTGTCCGTTCAGCACCACAGCCAGCCCTCTTGCCCCTTCAGGTCAATCAAGTGCCCACCAGCCAGTGTGCCTGCTGCCCAACCAAAACCAGAAGTAAGCTGGGCTCCTGTGGCCCTGTGCCCTGTCAGGGCAAGGGGAAGGTGGCGACTGCTCTCACAGTGAAAATAATTTATCTCTTTCAGGCTATTCAGGGTGTGCCTCACTCCTAAGCAGACACACTGGCCCACTTTCTCACTAGTGCTCAACAGGCCTCTCGGCCGGGCTGCTGGCTCATGCCTGTCAGCCCAGCACTTTGGGAGGCCGAGGTTAGGAGCTCAGGATGAGCCTGGCCAACATGATGAAATCCCGTCTCTACTAAAAACACAAAAATTACCCAGGCATGTGATGCCCACCTATAATCCCAGCTACTCGGGAGGCCGAGGCAGGAGAATTGCTTGAATCCAGGAGGTGGAGGTTGCAGTGAGCCGAGATAGTGCCACTGCACTCCAGCCTGCACGACAAAGTGAGACTCTGTCTCAAAAAAAAAAAAAATCCGGGCCGGGCGCGGTGGCTCACGCCTATAATCCCAGCACTTTGGGAGGCCGTGGCAGGCAGATCATGAGGTCAACAGATCGATCCCACCCTGGCCAACATGGTGAAACCCCGTCTCTACTAAAAATACAATAATTAGCCGGGCGTGGTGGCTCGTGCCTGTAGTCCCAGCTACTAGGGAGGCTGAGGCAGGAGAATTGCTTGAACCTA